CTTTGTACACAATAACAGCCACGTTATGCGATGACTAATATTGTTAAACTGAACCGTTCTCAGCATTACAAGGATTCTAAGACATCTCCAGAGACCTCAGGATGGAAAACGCTGTCCACATCCAAAGAAAGAACTATGGAAGTCGAATTGGTATCACTTATTTTTACCTTCTGTTGAGTTTTGTTTCATCTTTCTGATTGTTCCTCCTATTGGTTTTAATTTTTACTTACAACTTCACTAATGTGAAAATATGTTTAATAGGAATGTAAATGTAAAGCCTATATCAGATTGTGCACCATCTTGGTGAGGATGGTGGGGAGGAAGGGGGAGAAAAATTTTTAACTCAAAAGCATATGGAAGTGATTGTTGATAAATCAAAATAAATTAATAAAATTTTTTTTAAAAGAATTGGAAATTGAGGGGATGCCCATCAATTGGGGAATGGCTGAACAAGTTGTGGTATATGAATGTAATGGAATGTTATTGTTCCACAAGAAATGATGAACAGGCAGATTTCAGAAAAACCTGGAAAAATTACATGAATTGATGCTGAGTGAAGGGAGCAGAACCAAGAGAACATTGCAAAACCAAGAGAACATTGTACACAGTAACAGCAACATTGTGGGAGGATCAACTTTGACAGACTTAGCTCCTCTCAGCAACACAATAATCTAAGACAATTCCAAGGGACTCATGATGGAAAATGGTATCCACATCCAGAGAAAGAACTATGGAGTCTGAATGCAAACTGAACCATACTATACTATTTTTTCCTCTCTTTTTTCCCCTCTTTCTCATGTTTTTTCCCTTATGGTTCTGATTCTTCTTTTACAACATGACTAATGTGAAAACATGTTTAATATGATTGCACAAGTATAGCCTATATCAGATTGCATGCTGTGTTGGGGAGGGGGGAAAGGAAGGAGGAAGGAATTTTAGAACTCAAAATCTTATAAAGTGAATGCTGAAAACTAAAAATAAATTTTAAAAAAGAAAAACCTCAAAAAAAGCAATAAGTGGACTTGCATTCAAAATTCAAAAGGAATGAATGCAGTGGTACCCATAAAATGTAAAAAGCCCTAGAAGAAAACTGTTAGAACATTGGGAAAATTTTTAATGGAGAATCTATAGAAGAACAATGGACCAAAAACAAGTGTGTCAGAGAAGTCATAAGTAGATTATAATCTGTGGCAATGGAAGAAATATTGATGATATCACACAGTAGTTGAAAATTTGAAATATATACACATATACATACATACATATATAAGGCTCATGTGTAATTGAAAGAGCATCAATATAAAGATGGCAGAGTAGCAGGGAGAAGTACAGCTGAGCTTCATCCCCCACTGCCACACCCAACTCCTTCAAACATATCTTAAAAAAGCAATAGACCAAGTCCTGATTGGGAAATCCAAGAAAAGTCACAGTGAGTTATTTTCCCAGCCTAAATCAGCATGGGGAGACAGACAAAAAGGTCTATAGATACTGGAGACAGGACTTAGCCAGAAACGTCCATGAAGAACATTCTAGCACAAGGAGAGGTTGAGTGACAGGATAAGAAGAGGTACTATATCCAGAAGAAGAAAAAAAAGAGGGGGGGTGCCTAAACTTGACCAGGTAACAGGTATAGGAACAAACTATCAGTTTTATTGCTTACTACTCAATTCTAGATGACAGATCCAGGACAGACTGAAGACTGACCTTATGGGTAGTGTGAAGTCACAAGCCCCTAGGCTGGTACTCAACAAGGAACAAGTTCAGAAGCAAGCAGCAGTTATGTGGCCCTGACCCAAGGGGCTGAATGGGGTCTCAGTTTCAACTTTCAGCCTACTCTGAAACCTGCAGAGAATAACCAGCCCAAGAGGCTGGGCAGTTCTGTTATTCTGAACTAGTAGAGCTTTCCAACCGGTTGATAGTGGTCAAGTCCAGCAACTGACTACACGAACTTCTAGCCAGAGGTAAGCTGACACACCATTTCGCTCTAACCCAAACAGGGGTCAAGTTGCAAAGTCAAGAACTTGCAGAGCTCAGTCCAGGACAGCAATGATCAAACTTTGCCCTGAATCAGACCATGTTAGGAGTGCTGAAGTCTTGCAGGTCCCCATCCTGAACTATCCTTGAAAGCTTTAAATAACATATCAGTCCCCCAAGAATTGGGGACTAGCAGGACCAGTCTAGACATTGTTTCCAAAGCATACAGGACCCAGTCCTAACAAAGTCAGAAGAATGAACAAAAGAAGAATCCCACCACAAAGACTTATTATGATGATAGAGACTCTTAAAACACAAACCCAGGAGGAAAGAACTCCACAACATCTACAAGCAAAGCCGCAAGGAAAAACACAGTTTGGGCACAAGTTCAACTAGAATTCCTGGAAGAGCTGAAGCAAAAGTTTGGTTGGGTTTTTTTTAAGTTTAAAATGTTTTTAATAAATGAAATGAGAATGCTAGATGAATACATTGGAAAAGAAATGAAAGCTACAGAAGAAAGAATAGCTCTGCCCAAGAGATACAAAATCTTGCCCAAACAACAAATTCCCTAAAAATCAGAATGTTTTCATATTCTTATTTAGGTCAATGTCCAAAGACTGAGGGGAAAAAAGAGAGAAGAAAACATATGGTATCTCATAGTAAAAACAAGAGACTTGGAGAACAGATTAAAGAGAGAAATCTTGAGGAAATCTGACCTAGAAGCCATAAAAAAAAAAAGCCTAGACATCACATTTCAAGAAATCATAAAAGAAAACTGTCCAGGTCTCTAAGAAACAGAGGGCAAGGTAGAAACAGAAAGAATTGACTGGTCACCTCATTAAAGAAACCCCTAAATGAAAACTACCAGGAACACTGAAGCCAAAATCCAGAGTTTCCAGGTCAAAGAAAAAAAAATACTGTAAGCAGTCAGAATTTAAGTAACAGGGAGTCAGTCAGAATCACACAATTTAGAAGCCACCAATTTAATGGAGTGGAGAGCTTAGAAAATATTCTAGAAGGCAAAGAAGATAGGTTTATAACCAAGAATAACTTGCCAATCAAAATTGAGCATAATCCTACAAGAAAAAAATGGAAATAAGAAAATATAGGACATCCAAACATTCCTAATGAAAAGACCAGAGCTGCATAGAAAAATATGAAATGAAAACACAGAAGTCAAGAAAAATACAAAAAGGCAAATATAAGTGATCATAAGGAACTAAACAAGGATAAACTATTTATATTCTAATATAGGGTGATAATGAATCCCCTCAGAATCCTATCATCTTCATTTGAGGAAGTCTAATTAGAAAGAGGACCTGGAGTGGTTTGGTTATGTGTTGATGACTTTAAAAGAAGAATGGAAAGGGAGGAAAAGAGGAATACTCTTCGTGGTGTAATGGGGAAGGATGGAGAAAATTATCTAACATCACTGGGGTCCAAAAGTAGAAGTCTATACAAACAAGAAGGAAGAGGATGGAAGAGCAAGTAAAGTTTAAATTTCATTCTTATCTTAACTAGTCAAAGGACAGAAAAATGAATACACACACAGCAGGATCTAGAAATATGTTTCACTCAACAAGGAAACAACAAGCAAAGAGGAGAATAAGAGGAATAAAAAAGGAAAAATTAAATAAAGATTTAATCCTAAATGAAACAAACTCTTATGGATGTACAAAAACTATTTACAGCAGCTTTTTTCAATGACAAAGAATTGGAAACTGAGGAAGCGTCTACCAATTGGAGAATACTGAAAAAGTTACAGCATATAAATTTGATGGAATACTACTATACTGTAAGAGATGATGAAGGGGATAGTTTCAGAGGAACTTGGAAAGACTTGTATGAACTGATGCAAAGTGAAATGAGCAGAACTAGGAGAACAATTTCAACAAGGATAACCATTTTGTAAAGACAAACAATTCTGACTTAGGAACTACATCAGCACAATAATTAAACACAATTCCAGATGATTCATGATTAAAAATGCTACCCAGCTCCTCACAGAGAAATGAAAAACCCACAGAACAAATTTAGACTTTTTTTTTTTTGCAGGAGGTGGGGGTGGGGGTGGGGCGGGTGGGGTGTTGGGTTGGCCAATGTGAGAATTTGTTTTGCTTGACTATACACATCTGTAATAAAGGTTTTGTTTTTCTTTCTTTTGCTCTCTGTGGGGGAAGGAAGAGGGGACAGGGACAAGCATATTTTTGCTGTTTGAAAAAATAAAATTTAATTAAAAAAGAAAAACCATCAGAGCAAGTATAGGAGTGTAATGATATGACAATAAGTACCCACTTGCCTTTGAAAAGCTAGAGAATTTTCACATAGTTTAAGTTTACATGGCATTGCAGTTGAGGAGAAAGTGTTCCTATTACAGACTTGTGATGCTGATGCTCTTACTTTTGGGTAAATAGTATCTCAGATGTCCCCTGATCTTAGTCTGTCCTTGGAGAAGTAGTCAGCTTCAGATCTGTCCAGTATCAGGGTCACTTACTACAGTAGAGCAGTTACCTTTGGTTATTGCCACGGATTCCATGGTCTTCCAGGAGACTATGAAAACCGATTTTTTGGGGAGAGGGAGGGGAACTGGAAACTGGAAAATTGATTTTTTTTTCTAAACGAAATTCTTTACCCATTTATAGATACAGTTCATGCCATGCTCGTGGAATATCCTTGTTAGGGCAATTTCAGGACTGGACAGTGAGCTAAAACTCTCTCCTGGTAAGCTCCTCACCCAACAAGAGGTGGGAGTTCTCCCTAAGGGCCAAATTTACAAAGAGCAGCAACAGAATGAGATTTCATTTTTAGTTGGGTATAGCAAATCCTTTCAGCTTATGCATCCAGTAGTGTTTCCTAAAGAACTTTTTCTCTTACCTCTGTAACCCTCTACCTGGCATTGCATCTGTGTACACAGATCATCTTCCCAAACGTAAAGGAATGTGTTTGAGGAACCGTTTTTCATCTCTGTACACAAGCACAAAGACCCTTGCACACAGCAAACATTTAATTTTTTTTAATTGTAGGGGGAAGAGGCCAAGGTGGGGAGGGGAGGATGTAGCCCCAAGGCCACCCATAGCACTGAGCTTTTTCCCCGGGTTACCCTTGGGTGTGGCCTTAGCCAAGTGCCCCCCTCTCTCTAGGCCTATCTCCCCAATTGTATCGTGGCGGTTGGACTGGAAGGTTTCTGCTGGCCCCTCTGGCTCTTAAGATTTGATGATTCTCTGCCTCCCGTGCTAAAGGAGCTCCGTCCCTCTTCAGATTAGTTAAACTCTTCGAAAAACGATGATGTTCAATGCACCAGGGGCCAGCACGCCCTGTCGCCCGCACATCTCGCGAGATAAGCCTTTAGCGCCCGCCTGAAATCTCGCGGTTGCTGACGCCATAGAGGCGGGGGGAGGGGGGGAACCAACCACGGCCGTTGTTCTCGCGAGATCCGCGTCCCGAGCTGGAATTTGGGTCTCGAGACGGGGGCTAAAGCCGTTTCTGGCTGCGCTTAGCGGGGTCTTCAGAGAAGATGGCGGAGGTGTCCGGCAGCAACGGCGACACGGCGGAGCCCGTGGGGAAGGAGGCGGAGCCCGTGGGGAAGGAGGCGGGTGAGTGTCTGAGCGGGCTTGAGGCCGACGGAGGCGCTTTGTTTACAGTATCCCCTGGGGCCCATTCATTCTGCCCCCTCCTGGGGAGGGAAGTCGGGGTGGCTCCAGGAGACAGGCCCGCCCCCAGCCCCACCTGCACACCCTCCCTCCCCACTGAGCCCCATCTCCAGCCTCGCCTGGACGCCTTCCCCTGTGCCCAAGCCTCACTGCCTTGGCTTACCGTTAGCACCCGGCTGTCGAATCCTGATCCCACCGAGCTTGGCCCTTCCCAGGACTCTGACCCTGGCCTCACCTGGACCCCTTCTCCTCTCCCCTAGCCTTCCGTCCTGGACTGCCCCAGCCTCACCTGGAGATTAAAGCCCCGCATTGAGCCCACGCCTCACCGGTACAACCCCGGTCCCCGCAGCCTCACCTGGATGGCTTCTTATCTCACACCCCCCCCCCCGCCCCTTCCTAACCGCCCTCATTGGCCGCCAGCCTCACCTGGACGTCGTACCCCGCGCGCGTGCTTGCGCCTCCTTACCCCCTGAGCCCAAGCCTCACGGGTGCACTCTCGGTCCCCACTGAGCCTGGCCCCCAGCCTCACCTAAACATGACACCGGGGGAAGGGGTGGTGGCAGCCACTGAGTCTCACGTACAGCCTCATTTGGATGACTTCTCCCCACTCCTCCGACCCCCGTCCTAACTGCCTAGGTGGCCCCTAGCCTCACCTGGACATCTTACCCCGCAGTGAGAGGGCGGGGCGCGCGGGACCATGGAACCTCCCCGCCCCACCCCCAGCCTAACTGCTCTGATGGCCCCCCAGCTTCACCTGGACATCGTACTGGTGCGTGCGCGTGCACACCAACCTCCACCCTCCATGAGCCCGCGCCCTAACGGTACAGCCTCGATCCCCACTGAGCCTCACATCCACCTTCACCTGGACTGCTTCTCTCCTCCCCGCCCCCTCCAACTGCCCTGATTGGCCCCCAGCTTCACCTGGACAGTGACCCCCTGCAGCTTCCTCCTTACTGCCCAGTCTCTCCTGGACACCTTTCCCTGTTCCCAAACCTTGCTGTGTTTATTCATCATCAGCTACACCTGGATGTTGAAATCTCTGTACTGGCCAGACTTCACCCCCATGGATACCTTTTCTGGTTCCCAGCCCTTACTGTTTTGACTCACCAACAGCTGCACCTGGATATCAAACCCTGATCTCAATGATGGGGGGTGGGGGGAGAGGGTGGAGTACCTCCCTCCAGCCCCCTAGACATCTCCTCTCCCCTAACCTTACTTCTTGGACTCACCTGAACATCATACCACTTCCCCACCCCTGCCTATCCCCCTTGTTCTCCCACGAACCCCCACATCTAGCCTCACCTAGGCACAGCCCCTGCCCCCTCTCCTAAACATTGCATAAGGGCTTTCAGGCTCTTCCTGGTTTCTCTCCCTAGTATAATGGCCTTCTAAGGGTCCCCACTCCTACAATTATCATTCTTTTCCTCACAGCTTACCCTTGCTGAGGCCAACTCCAACCTTTACCCAGACCTGCCAGGCACCTGGACATTCCTTACAAGCTTCCTGTACATGTCCTCCTCTTCCCCCCTCTAATTATTGGATCAGTCTTACATCTAACAATACTGCCACTTTTCCCATTCTTGGAGTTAATATGTCATCCCTCTCCCCCACCCTGTTTTGTGAAAATCTAAACTTGCTTCTCTTCCTCTGTTCTCTCATATCTTCCCTGTATCAGTGCCTTGGATGGGCATCTTGACTCTCTTGTCTGCACCTTTCTACTTTTTCTTTTTCCAGGCTGTGCCCCCTCTAATAGCAGGGTATGAGAGTTCAGTCTAGAAGGATTAATAAGATAGACAAGTAATTATATAAGACAGGCTACATAAGGGTCATAAAGGGATTCTAACTGCTTTGTGAGTTCTCTCTCATGTCTTGAAGACTAGGGAATGGAAGGAGTTTCTTGGAGAAGGTTTGTAATCTGGGCTTTGAAGTATGGATAGGAATTTAATAGAATTTAGCTGGGGGAATGAATGGTTATAGTAGGTATACACTCCTTTAAGGTTTGTGGTTCATTTCCATGTTTGAAAAGATAAAAGGGAGTGCATTCTAGGTTGATGAAACAAAGGTGACAAGGTGGGAAGGTATGGGACTTATTCAGGAAATAAACAGTAGTTCGGTTTGGCTTTGGTACAAGTTAGGGGCAGTGGGGTTGGGGTGGGGAGCAGTGTGAGATAGGACTAGAGATAAATTACTGACAGATCAACAGGTTCTTAAATGGTAGGCTGAGACTTTTTTGGTCTTGATCCTTCTATAGAGGAGAGACATTGAGGAATTTTGAATGGGAAGAACTGTTTTTGAAGAATGGCTCTGGTAATAGTTAATAGGATAGACTGGAAAAGGGCAAAAGTATGATATCCTATGTGGAAATTTGCTTTGATGTACATCAATAATAATAGTTGTCATTTCTACAAGGCTTCTTAGTTTATATACAGAAGTTTACTCCCCGACCCTTTGCTCACAACAGCCACTTGAAATAGGCAGTGCAGCTATTCTCTTCATTGTCAGGGAGGAGAAGGTTAAGTGAAATTAATTGAATCAGTCAAGGTCATAAAACTAGTCAAGGGCAGAAATGGAGAGGGGGTGGTGGAACCAGTCTGTGGCTTTCTAGCTTAGTGCTTTCCCCCCCTATACCACAATTACCTTTGTGGGAAGTCCTGTGGACATCTATGGCTTGTTAGAAGATCAAGATGAAATTTAATAGGGATGAATGTAAAGTCTTAGACATGGATAACAGAAAATCAGTCTCATGAATGCAAGATAAAAGAGGGATGGCTAGACAGCAGCTTGTCCAAAAAGATCTAGGCACTTAGAGTAGACTATAAGCTCTCTCAGAGTTACCAGTGTGCTATGGCAGCCAAGAAAGCTAAGGCAATCTTAAACTACAACATTTTTTGACGTCCAAGAATTGGGAAGGTATCGTGTGCTGTACTCTGCCCTGCTGTGACCACATCTAGAATATTCTGGATGCCATATTTTAGGAAGAACATAGAGAGTACTCATGTGAGGGCAACCAGGATGGTAAAGGGCCTCCAGTCATCATATGGGGATTGGTTAAAGCAGGGGTGGGGAACTAGGAACATTTATCTTGGAGAAGAGAAAAAGGAAACATGATGTCTTCAAGAATTTGAGGGCTATTATATGGAAAAGGAGTTAAATTTACTCAGCTTGATCTGAGGGCAAGAAGTAGGAGCAATGGGTATAAACTTCGAAACGACAAATTTGAGCTTACTTGATATAAGGAAAAAGTTCCTAACCATCACACTCTACAAAAATGGAATCTGCTGCCTTAGTAACACTTGTGGAAGTCATTGGATGTTATAGTAGAGATTTTTTTTGGTAAGGTACAGTTTGGACTAGATGACCTTTGAAAATCTCTTTTAACTTTATGTAATGCTCTGTCAGTAGTTTGAGAGAGATAAAGAGAACCTAAACCAGGATAGGGACAGCAGGAATAAAGAAAGAAAAATGGATTCTGGGATTGTTGTAAAGGTAAAAACACCAGGACTGGTTACTGATGAATATGAAGAAGAGGGAGGAATCAGATGACCATGAGGTTTTGATTCTACATTATTGTTATCCCATATATGTTCTGTATATACTTATGTTTGTATACCTCCCCTGATAAGGCCAGAGCCAGTTTGACCTTACCTGGTTGTGTAACTTCTTAACAGTTGTGTTCAAATCAAATTTAAAAAGTTTGTTTTGTGACTGGACAAGACAAAGCACTTGACTTCCCTGAACCTCAGCTTCCTTGTGTGTAAAATGCAGATTTCCTCTATTTGTGGAAGGTGTTCTGTTTTTTCTTTTAAAGTTTTATTGATTCCTTTAGTTTTTTGTATAAAACATTTCTAAACCCCATCCTACCATAAAATTCTTATCTTGTAGCAAAGAAAAACAATCAAAGGAAATCAAATGATATAGCTAATGCATTGGACAAGAGTAGACAATATCTCACATCAGTGCTTCCTTATCTCTTAACTAAGGAGAAGGAAGTGTCAGGAATGCCTTCTGTAAACCTTAAACTGACAAAAATGTGATTTATTATTCATAGGTTTCAGGGGCAACCACACAGCCCTGTCCCAGGTGGAATGGAAAATGACTTCTTGTGTACCAAAGAGACACAGAATTATTAGCCCCTTTGGCAGGATTGTGGTAAAAATTAAATCAAGCCTCTGGTTTTCAAATTTGACATCCTGCCTACCTTTGTAAGGGAATCTATAATACTATGAGACTGTTTTTTGTTTCTTCTCTATTGTCATTATAGATTAGAGGATATACTGATCAGTTCTGAAGGGAACTATGTCATGTGGGATGGGTATGAGATAATTAGTGTGACTTTTCTTTTCTTCCACAGTGGATCGAATGATTCAAGAGAACAACCACCTGTTCACAGATATCCAGTGTAAAGTGTGCAATGCAGTACTCATTTCTGAGTCCCAGAAACTCGCCCATTACCAGGTATTGTGCAGTGGCCATTTAAGAGAATTGTAATTGCTCCATAGACCCAGTGATAACAGTTCAGAAGTGAGAGTGGGAGGGAGACCTGAATTCCATTTCTAGCTTCTCTTCAGCTTACCAAGTTTGAAAGGTGACATTCTCTGTTAGCTTCTTGGATCTAGTCTTTGTGTGTCCGTAGAATATACAGTAATTCAACATGAGTCTTGGGCATCATTGACTTTAAGTTACATTTCCAGGCATACTGGTTTCTCCTCTCTGAGCAGACCAGAGGAACCTTGCCTCTAGCTCCAGGCCCTTTTGCCTTTCACTCTTTTATTGAATATTAAGCTCTTGGGCTTTCCGGGCCCCTGAACTTTCTTGACTGAGTTCAGTCTGGCATGGAAGAATTCTGTTTATCTGTTCTGCATCTACTATTTCAGGGTACCCTGGTTCCAGTATTCACTTTACTTGCTTCCCTTCTACTTCTGTCATTATACTCTCCAGAAAACAAGAGTATATATCTAGGGTTTCTTAACAAGGTAAAAGAGACTCTACATTAAATATTTAGGTATAGATCATTAGAAGTATCTAAAAAATAAACCACTTGGTTCTAGGCTAGGTGACTCAGTTTGCAAACCTATCCTATACTAAAGTTTTCCCAGGCTTATCCTAGTGGTCCCGTTCCTTCACTATGGAGTACTCAAAATGAAAATGGCATTTTCCCAAACTGAATTTGGGGTTCTCCCCTCCCTTCTCCACCCTCTCACCTCTGGACCTAGCTCATTGGTTCAGTTTTTTAATCCCAGCACCACTTTCAAGTCAATCAGGAAGCCACAAAATGATTTGTGCTACTTTGTCTGTAAGTGTGCACACTTAGTTGAGTAGATACATACTCTCACTTCTCCCCCCCCCCCTTTTAAGGAAAGGAGGCAGCCTGGGATAGTAGGAAAACCTCTGCAACCTCTGCAATAGGTGTCAGACAACTGGGTCAAGTCCCTGCATTGCCACTGATGAGCTGTAATATCCAGGGCAAGTGACTTCTCATTTGTATTTCTTCTGTCTGTAAAATGAGAGAATGGACTAAGTGATCTCTGAAGTCCCTTCCAACTCTGATGTCTTTTCATTCTACGAGCAGACAGAAATACAAATAAGCAAATAGGATAGTTCTCTTTACCTCAGAATTCAGCCCAACACAGAGGGCACTCCCATGTTCACAGTGTATAGTCCCTTCTCTTTACAGTATCTTTGCTATGTGACCTTAGGCAACAACTTTTATATGCCTCATTTTCACTCTATTGTACCTATTCCCTCAATCACTGGTTATTATGAGAATGAATTATAAAAGTTGTGTTTTTGAGGGTTTTTTTACTACTATAGAAGTGTTTTGCATGACTACATATGTATAACCTGTATCGAGTTGCTTGCCTTCTCAATGAGGGCGGTTGGAGAGGGAGGAAGGGAGAAAATTTGGAACCTAAAGTTTTAAAAACAAATGTTAAAAAGTATTTTCACATGCAAATGGAAAATAAGATATAATACAGGCAAGGGATATAGAAATCTGTCCTGCCCTACAGGAAAATAAAAGGAGAAGGGGATAAGAGAAGGGGGGGAGATAGAACTGAGGGCACATTAGGGGAATGCGTGCCATCTTAGGGTGGGGGGAGTGATGAGATGGGGAGAAGATTTGGAACTCAAAATCTTTCGGAAGTGAATGTTGAAAACTAAAAATAAATTAATTTTTTTTTAAAAGTTAATGGTAAAGTTCAATTAAAGGCTAGATCTTATCTCCTAGTTTACTGTTTTTTTTCCAGCATTCTACAGTACTTAAATTATTTAACACAATTTTTTTCAGAGATAGTGAATGCATCTCAGATCCAAATCATTATAAATTCCTCATTAAAAATATCTAGGTTGAAATTCTGTATCCTAAGTCCCCTTACTTCACAGATGAGGATATGCAGATCCAGGGAGATCAAATAGCTTATATTACATTCACACAGGTAAATAGCAAAGTTTGAGTAAAATTATCTAATGTCCCCAAAATGTGATTCTACTATAGCACTTTGCTTCAGTTCAATAATTTTGGTGGTAGGCAGAACCATTTAAATAAAATATTGGATTCATTAAATGAATAAAGGATGGCTATTCATTATTTCACAATTCTAAGATTAAAACATGAACAAAAATTGCACTTTGAATAGAAACCCTCCTTCTCCCCAAACTGCAGATTTTCTTTGATTCTGAAATGTACTAATTGTTAACACAACAGAAAAAGTCAAGAAATAGACAATAAATTCCTCTTCTTTATCATTAAAAAAAAAAGTGGGTTTTTTTTATAAGAATCTAACAATTAGTCTGAGGCACTTGCAGAGATGTTCTAAATAGGTAAACTTAGTTAGCAAAGCACTATTATATGACATTTGGTTAAAAAAGTATTTTTAAATTTTCTTTCTCCTGGGTTTTTTCCAGAGCAAGAAGCATGCAAACAAAGTGAGGAGATACACATCTATTCACAAAGAGGAGGAGTTTAATGATGGGAAAAAACTGAAGCTAGATTCAAAACAGGTAATAATATCAGGCTTCCCATGGTAAGGAAGACCTATCAAAACAAAACATTCCCCTTCTGGAGTGTGTTGGAACAGAGAAGGGAGCTAACTTAGTGGGTGCTTATCTATTTTCCCAACAGTGTATGAGCACCAGTATTCCTCAGAGGTTGTGAGAAGGTTCCTAGGTAACTAATGATCAGGACAGCGATCTGAAAATGTGATCCCTCTTGTCAGAACACCTCACTTCCCAAGCGTCCCAGTGCATGGAATGAGGAGACACGTTAGAAGCCCAGGTTTATGGTCTTCCATTTCATTTCAGCTTTAAAAATTGAATTCTGGATCTGTAATAATTGTCTGAGAAGTAGAATGTACTTCTACTTAATTGCTGTAATTAGGATCTAATTAGGCTTAAATGTGTTTCCCAAATCCAGAAATCCCCATCTTTCTCTCTCCAAATCCAAAAGTCTGTCTTCTTTCTCCCGCTGGCATTTAACTGTATGCCTAGAACTGTCTGTCTGAATCAAGAGAGCAGTGTAAAATACTGAAAAGACCACTGGGTGAGGCTTTAAGGCCTGGAATCATCTATTGGTTCTGCCACTTAGGAGCTGCATGGTCATAGTCCCTCTCTGAATCTGTTTCCTGATCTGTGAAATGGGATTATTTATCAGGCCTATAGGGGAAGAGAGGGTAGAGGAGATCTGTGAGACAAGGTATCAGGTAAGGGGTGTATTTGAGGGTCTGTCATAGAAAGAATGCTGGATTTGGAGTCAGAGGACCTGGATTCAAATCACAGATTTGCTGCTTGCTGCCTTTGTGACCTTGGACAAGTCACTAAAGCTCTCTGGGTGTCAGTTTCCTAATTCTCCTACAGAATGAGGGAGTTGTCCTAAATGGTTTCTAAGGTTCCTTCAAGTGGAGAATCCTATGACCCTTTCATTCTTGCTTTGCCTACCTCACATGGCTGTTGTGAGATTCAGATGAGCTTAAAAGCACTTGGAAAATTATCAATTATCCTATGTATAAGAGGGAGCATTATTTCTGAGCCATTTGTTCTCCTGGTTACCCTCTTTGAGCACTTAAGCCAAGATTAAAACAGAGATGAGGCCAGGGCCCTACAGACTGAGGGTGGGGTAGAACTGTCTTGTTTTCTAGCCTGGTCCCTGTAGTAGCCAGTAAAAAGGCACCGTTCTCCCTCCTGAGCAGGAGAGCAGCCATGGCGATGACAGGGATCGGTGCTGTGCCATCTGCAACATGACCTTTTCTTCCCCCGTCGTGGCCCAGTCTCACTACCTGGGGAAGACTCATGCCAAGAACATGAAGTTGAAGCAGAGTAACTCCCAGGCGGAAGGTACTGCTCTTTCTCTGCACCGTCTTCATGCCTGAGGATGGGATGGGGCTGATGGTCAAAATGAAATCTTTGGGGGATGGCTTAAAAATAATCATAAAGCAAGAGCAGCTCCACTCAACCAAATTGTTCATTCAGCAAAGAACTTAGTAACCACTTGTTGTGAACAAGGGCTGGTCACTGAGGATTTAAAGGTAGATATGGCAAAGGCCTTGCTCTCACAGTCTAATAGAGAAAGACGTTTAGGCCAGAGCACTAAATATGACAGAAAATTCAGTGAGATAGTGAAATAAATGCAAAGGAGAATTCCCTTTTGCTGGGAGAGTCAGAGAAGATGTCATAGAATGAAACATCTGAGTTGAGCTTTAAAGGGAAAGATTTCAGTGGTACAAGATGGAAGAAAGGAGGGAGGGAAGTCTCTTCCAAGCTTGAGGGTTGTCAGAAGCAAAGACAGACAAGACAATAAGATGAGGATGGAATGAAGAATATGTGGGCATTCGGAGTGTGAAGTATGGCTGGAAAAGTAGGTTGGAGCCAGTCTTGTATATGGGACCTTGAATTCTAGGTTCAAGGGTTTATGCTTTATTTGGTAAAGACAGGGGAGCCACTCAAGGTTTTTGAGTAGCAGAGTGATATGATTCAAGGCATCTTATAGGGAGATTATTGAGATTGCGGTGGGAAGGATAGAAGGGGTTTACTAGATTTGGGAAGACTGACTAGAAGGCAGTTTAAATAGCCAACGCAAGAACAGATTTGATTCAACAAACATTTAGTACTTGCGTACAAGGTACGCAAGGAGATAAGAATGCAAAAATTGTAAAACTCTAATGTCGCTTCCCTCAAGGAGCTTATATTCTCCTAGGGAAATGTGATATGTACAGAGAGAAATATAATGTAGAGCATAATATGAGGTACGAAGTAATTTTGGAAAACTTAGGAAGGAGACAACATTTTCAGCTGATGAAATGAAAGATGCTTTATGGAGGAGTTAGCGGCTGAGCTGAGCTGAGCTTTGAAGAAAAGGAAGGATGCTGAAGGGAAATGTGAGCAGGACACTTATTGGGAGTATTAGGAAGGCCTGCTGGAATGGACAGAAGGAGACAGCGTGGCAAGGGGAGGTGACTTGCCAGTAGTAGTATAGCTTGGAAGATAAGAGTGAATGAATGGGAATAAGATGAAATAATACTCTCAAGGTGAGTTGTAACCAGTCTCTGGGATCTGAGGTCAGAAGAAAGAACTGTACATTCCAGGCATGGGGAGAGATCTTGGTCAGTGCAAATGTCCAAAAGCAGAAGGTGGCAGGCCAAGTTTGAGGAACAGCAGATAATTGAAATTGGCTGGAACATACACACTTTGTAAAGAAGAGTTATATGAAATAAGGCTAGAAAGATGAGTAGGAACAATATTGCTAAGGGCCTTATATGTCAGGAATTTGTATCTTCTCCTTTAAGCAGTGGGGAGCCATTAAAGGTCTTTGAGCTGGTGAGTGACATGGTCAGATCTGTGCCTTAGCAATATTATTGCAGCAGCTCTGGAGGATTGATCAGAAAAAGAAGAGACTGGAAGCAGATTGTTTTGAAAAGCTATTAGAGTAATCCACTTGCAACTTGATGTAGGTCTAAATTAGAGTGATAACAATGTGATTAGAGAAAAGGTGACAGATTCAAGAAATGTAGAGATATAGTTAAAAGGATTTGGCAGCTGATTGGAGGATAACTGGACATGCTTATAACACTTTAAACATTTTAATCTTCACAATAATCTGGTGTGAGGTAAATAATGCAGTGGTTATTATTCCTATTTTTTAGATAAGGAAGTTGGGGAAAAGTGATTTGCCTATGGTCTCGTCAAAGTTTCAGTCCAAGTCTCCTAACACCAAGTCAGATGTTTTTAAGGGACTTGGCCACCTAACCTCTCCTAGGGCCAGATGAATTTTTCTCTGCAGGAGCCTCATGGCCCCAATCCTTTGTCTGGAATTGGAATGAGTTGTTGAAAGTGCAGAAGTTCTGTGGGTATATTAAGAGTATATTGAGAAATTCCCTCCTGCCTCTTCCACTCCATCTTCTCCAACAACTTTGATCTTCCGCAGTCACTGTGTGCTCAGACTTGAAAGCAAAATCTTTCTCTTTTTGGAGTGTGCAGGTCATACCCTACTTGCTTTTATCTGCAAATGCAGCCTTTTCTTACTGAGCCAGGCAGATATTGCCTGTAAAAGCAGAGAACTTCAGTGTTGCTTTCATTGTCTAGCAAGCTGTGTTTTCAGCTATTAGGAATTAATTTACAATCCATGTGGTTTGGAAATAGACTCCTTTAATTTCTCACGATGGGGATTCATCCCTGGGTTTCATTCACCTTATTAATATCAAGCTTCCTGTCTTAAGTACCTTCTTTAAACCCATGTGAAGGAATGATTGGTTGATGTCCTTAGTTTATTTTTTCATAGTAATTTGAGACTTCCATTTTGTTTTGGACTAAGCAGCATAGTTGTGTTCATGATATTCATTATTTTATGAATAATTTGGCTAATGCCAAATTATGACCTAGAGAGCTCAGGGTCATAGAATTTTAGGATTAGACTTCCCAGAGTTGGAAAGGCCCTTAGTGGTTGTTTAATCCAAGCCCAATTTGAAGTATAAATCCCATCTTTAAATCTACATGACAAGGGGTCATGCTCTGAACACCTCTACTGAGTAGGAGCTCATTATTTACTGAAGCAACTCATTCCATTTTTTGAACATTTTAATTAAAATTTTCCATTATATAGAGAGAATATCTGCTTCTTAGTAACTTCCCTGGGATGGCTGGGCAGCAAAGTGAATAGAGCACTGGGCCTGGAATCCAGAAGACTCATCCTCATGAGTTCAAATCCAGCCTCAGTTACTTCCTAGCTGTGTGACCCTAGACAAGGCACTTCACCTCAGTTTCCTTATCTGTAAAATGGGCTGCAGAAGGAAATGGCAAACCACTCCAGTATCTTTGCCAAGAAAACCCCAAATGGGGTCACAAAGAGTTGGACATGACTGAAATAGCTCACCAACAAAATAACTTCCCTCCGTTGGTCCTTTTTCTGCCCTGTGGAGCGGAACAAATATAAGCCACCTTCCACAAAAAAGCTTTTCACATATTTGAAGGGATCCCATCTTCCTACAGTGTCTTCTCTAGGCTAAACATCCTCAGTTCTTTTATATAATCCTCATTACATGATGTTGAGTCCCTTCACTGTTCTGATGAAGACACAGGTAACATGCTTATTAAATTGTCAGATGATATAAAGGTGGGAGAGATAGGTAAAGTTTTAACTTGGATCAAAGAAAAAATGTGGTACAAGTAAAAGATGGGGAAGCCTAGCTACAAAATATTTAAATGTGAAAAAGCCCCAGGAGTTCTAATGGGTTTCCCGCTCAAGATGAATTAATAGAGTGGCATGAAAACCAAAAGAGTTAATGCATTTTTCAGCACTTCCCTTCACTATGGGTCTCCTTCTACCACTGCAGGTCACAGCCCTCCACAATTTAGTAGGTAGTTTTTGAGATTTTCTGTAACCAAAAAAATCTTCTTCACTTAAAATCCATCCCAAATGTGAGACCTTCCAAACTTAGCTAGACTTGTCCTCAGACAACAGAAATACAGCTCTGGCAACGGATCTACATTCGGAGCCTTTCCAGCTTGGTAGGACTTTCCAAAGCTGGCGTACTGCTGGTATATGCTTCAACACGTCAGCATTCCCTCCATACCATGATGAGGTACCAGAGGCAATGTAAAGTCTAGAATTCTATGAGCCTCCTGCACATGTCTTTCTAAATTAGACATTGCATAAAGCAAGCATTTCTCACTTGTTAAAAATGCATAGAAAAATGTTATTTTGGAAAAAAAATAGCACATATTTGACTGGAGAGTCTTTGCGGGTGTAGGCTGTACTTTTTACATCAAGTGTTGCTGCTCATCTACAGCTCTTATTTGCAATGGGGCTAAATCAAGACAAAAAGGGGCAGTCTGATCAATTGAGTGAAAGGAATCGGCCTCATGAGGGAGCAAACCTGTGCGTATTTTATTACTAATACTATGTTTTAATCATCTGAGTATACTGAGCCTGGACTCAAGAAATGTTCTGTCTCGTGACTCAGTTGATTCTGTTCCCAGCTCTTTCAGGAATGTATAGAAGGTAAGACAATGTTTGGATCCCATTTCTAGACAACCTTTAACAAGAGGAAGCAGTTGTTACCTAGTAGAAAGAGCATTCAATTTAGAGTTAAATCAGGGGCGGCTAGGTGGCGCAGTGGATAGAGCACTGGCCCTGAAGTCAGGAGGACCTGAGTTCAAATCCGGCCTCAGACCAAACACTTGACACTTACTAGCTGTGTGACCTTGGGCAAGTCACTTAACCCCAATTGCCTAAAAGCAAAAAAAAAAAAATAGAGTTAAATGATGTGAGTTCACTTCTTATTCCTCAACTTTTTTTTTTTTTGCTTTGGGCAAATCATTTGAATTCTCTGATCCTTGTTTTCCTCATCTAAAAATTGGAAATGATAACTGCATTTCTCAACTCATAGGGTTGTTTTCAGACTCCAATGAAAAGATGTATCAGAAGCATTTTATAAATTATAAAGTACTATATAAATGTCAACTATTATTATTATCGATTTACTTTGCTTTGGATCCAGAATACCTAGGTTCAGACCCCTGCTCTGCTATTTAATATCTATATGATCTTGAGCAAAATAATTTACCCGCCTAAACCTCATTTTCCCATTTATTGAATGATACATATAGTACTGATTTCAGAGTGTTACGAGGATCAAATGAGATAATGAATGAAACATGCTTTGAAGAAGCTGAGGGCATAGTGGATAGAGTGCTGAGCCTGGAGTCAGGAAGATCTGAGTTCAAATATGGCATCAGATACTTAACTGGCTGTGTGACCCTGGGCAATTTACTCAACCTCTGCCTCATTTTCCTCAACTGTAAAATGAGGATAATAATGCCACCTACCATGTAGGGTTGTT